CAAAGACTGCGCAGTTCTGTGTAGTCTTCGAGCCTGTACACTGGGAATCAAACCGGAGAGCCTGGTAATACCTGAGCCTCTGTCCCGAGTGCTGGAATACAGGATGGCATCACAAGTACTTGCCAGAAGATGTAACCATTCCTCAGTGGCCGCTCAAATTGCCAAGTCAAGGGTTTCTAGGTACGTTGCTTTCATGTCGGCATGATCTACCATGTAGATCAGTCATGGAGTAGTATATCCTTCAAGACGTTGATGTTCTGAAGTGGCTTTAATGCAGCCTTCCCAATCAGTTTTAACCACCCCTTCCCTTTTCCAGTGGTTCTGGGCTTTTGACGTTCCAGCCTGTGGGTCAGTGCGTACACCCAGGGACTTCTCAGAGCTACTGGGTTCAACCATATTGAGGGGGCTGCAGCTGATCGTCCCTGGAGGACAGTCATTGACTGTACGTCAGTCTTTCGTCTGCTGGATGTAAAAGCTGTGGCACTCCTCCCCTTGCGTCTTGAGGCAGGTTAGCTCACTGAAGACCTCCAAAATTCCAATATTTTTCTGCTTTCCTTCCCATGATCCACTCGACAGTACCAGGTCATCCGTGAAAGCCATAGTTGTTGCATTTCTCAAACAGTGTTGGAAAACGCTTCCCTCCGCCTCCAATTGCACAGCAGGGGGCTCCACAGAGAAGTTAAAATTGGGGACTTTGGATCACCCTGTTTTACACCAATCTGAATCCCGGTAGGATCTGCCTGTTCTTTCTTCAGGTCAATACGAGTACTGATGTTCCGATACAAGTTTGTAGCCAGGGCAATAATGTGATTGTCCATGCCCTTCTGATTAAGAGCTGAAATGATGTGAGAATGGCTCACGGTGTCAAAGGCTCTCGCTAAATCAATGAAGACTCCCCCTGGGGGTCACCGTTCCTTTTTGGCGGTACGAATTAGTAGCTGCAATAGCTTCAAATTTTCTGCACATGCTAATGACTTTACAAACCCCCTTTGTGGCAGATTCGTGGGACACCTTAGTCAACCTTGCTGTTAAAATCCTTCAGAATGACCTTAAAATGGTTGATCCAATGGTAATTGGCCACCAGTTAGTGATGTCACTCTGGTGCTCTCGTAAAGCAGATGTTGATATTAAGTCAGACATTCTCTTACCATGTCTGGTATAGTACCAGATGCCAACCATGGATTGAAAAGGTCCATTAATTGGGTATAGTGAGGATCGATCTTAATGAGATCTCTCAAACTAAGCCTGTCCGGTCCTGGCGCCATGTTCTTACTCCTCTCCTCAACCCTGCCGGGTTGTCCTCCTGGCAGCAGAGTTTCAAACTGACTCCCAAAGCATCAAAAGCAAAGCCAGCCTCGTCCTCCCTGAGTCCTTTCAGGATTTCACCTTCCTGTGGCTTGATGCTTACGTGGTTGGTCACGTCCCATGGTGGTAACATTCCTGTTCCCTGTGTTTCCCTTTGCTCTGGCTAAGAATCTCTTCCATTGCACTGGATTTCTTTTTATTATTAATATTATTTTAATATACGGCATGTGCTGGTTTGGATGGAAAGGTTTGGGTGTTTAACTCTTGTCAATGAGGCACCTGGAACTTGGCACCCTCTGGCAGGTCTGGGAATGAGCCAGGAGGAGCTGAAGGGCTGGTCCTACGGAGCGCTGCCTCCTGCTGCCTCCGGGATGGCACCGCCGTAGTTTTTCCTCTCGTCCATCAGTGGTATCGCTCTGCCCCACGAGAGATTGCTGCACGCCTCTGCTGGGGAAGCAGCTTGTGATCTCTCCCCTGTCAATTTTAAGCAAAATTGCCTGGGTTATTCCACCTACCGATTTCCTTAGCTACAAATTTAAATAATCCAATACGGATTTTTTTTTTCCCCCCCTTTTTTCCCCAAATTTTAACATAACCGGAGAAAGGGGGCAACAGCCTGGACGTTGTGGCTGATGTTGTACTGTGGCGTTTTTTTCACAGACTCACAGAATGGTTTGGGTTGGCAAAGCCCTTTAAGCTCCCCCAGCCCAACCGCCCCCCTACCCTTGCCATCCCACCCCCAAACCCTGGCCCTCAGCACCGCCTCTGCCAGGCTGTTAAATCAACTCACCGCTGGGGGCTCGAC